ATTAGTTCGAATTTTCCAAACATTTATCATGGATTTTAAATTTCATAATTTGTCACTTATAGTTATCCCTGTTTTAAACTGTTGGACAATTTGAATTGAAGTAGTTTGGTTAAATGTATCATATGTGACAATCGTACATTTGATATTTATTCTAGGTAATAAAAATTAATAAAATAATTTATTGATTCTTCACATTTCCAAATATGAGATATGGGATCAACCACTCTCGTTCATTTGAACAGTGTAACGGAGTGGTAACTATTCTCAAATCTAGATTGCTGATTCATAGATTCCCAATGAACAGATGTCAGAAATTACAATAAGTTCTTACATAATATAATTGCACATTTATATTCAAAAATAAATATGATTAAAATCGATTTAAAAAGTGAAGAATTGTGAGATCCTTATTTTATAGGTTGATAACAACCTGAAAAATTGCGGTCTGATTTTGATACTTACATATTACTCAACATAAAAACTTTAAAATTCGTTCATAAATATCTTTCTTATCGGTGTTGTATTAAATCTTATTCTGTACTTAAATATAGGAATGCAAATTTATAATAAAATGACCGATTTCTATGTTTATATTCATGGTACTTTTTCGCCATTATGGAATACTTAAAGTTTACTGAATATTTAATTTAAAAAGTTATTATCATCTACTGTGAATACAGAAAAGTTTTGAGTCAATCCTTGGAATTATTTAAATTTCAATCGCTGAGACTATTTCAAATATAATTTTTTCACATATAATGAATTCTCTATACTCGGTGCCCAAATATTGTCAAACTATTCGTTCTAATCTTGACGAATATTCGTATAAATTATTTTCCAATCGAATTAAATTATCAAAGAAAATACATAATTGGTACAATCATAGAATTTTTAATCTACGATGTTTTAAACAAAATGTTTTTCCTAAATCTTTGTTGGTCAAATCTCCTGACAAATCTATTCGTTCAATCAAAGCGGCGATCACAGCCACTAGAACTTTTATCAGGGAACATATTCACATAGCCACTATGAATTTGGAGTCACTACGTTCAAGGGTAAAGAATATCGATGAAATTCTGTCCGTTATCACACCGAAAGAAATAATATCTAATGTAAGTGAATTTTTCAAACTCAGAGAACAGTTTTATCATCAATCATCAAAACTACGACAGATTAGAAAGTTCGAAAAAAATGTTGAAACATGCGTCAAACAGCAAAGTGAAACAAACTAGAGACAAATCGAACACAGTAGATATTAACAAAGTGTTAGTTAATTTATCTGATAGAATTCTCAACTCCCATGAAATTTCATTACTTAAAAAGGGTCTCAATTTCAATATAAATAGACCACATTTATCGTCTTTCAATATTATACCAGCAATCGAACCAACATTGAACATACTTCCTAATGAAACAGCGAATGAATTGAGGAATAAGATAATGTCCGTGTTATTACGTCAAAAATCACAAAAATCTAATATGACTAAAAATGAGTTGCATGCATCAAAGCAACTAAGAAATGATAAGACAATTATCATTACAAAAGCAGATAAAGGTAACACTGCAGTCATCATGAACAAATTGGACTACGAGAAAAAAGCAAAGGAACATATGAACTAATCAAAGTTGAAAAAAGCAGAACTACGCTCAATAAACTTAAGGCGGAAACAAGTAAAATCTTACATTCGTTAAAGGTCAAGCTCGGAACGCCTTTATGGTTTATGCTAAATCCAAAAAGTTGTAACCCTTGTCGATTCTATGGACTCCCGAAGATTCACAAGGATAGTACTCCACTAAGACCAGTGGTCGATTTCACAAATTCACCGACTTGCAACCTAGCGAAATACTTAGCTAGAATACTAAAACCGTATGAGAAATTGATTAATCATGGAATTAAAAACTCTATGGAATTTAAAAATATTATTGATACCATCGACATAGAAGAAGAAGAACTAATGGCAAGTTTTGATGTTTCTTCCTTATTTACTAACGTACCTATCAACAGAGCGTTGGATATTATTTATGCTTGTTTAGAATCTGATTTGGATTTACATTTACGTTGCCCGTTAGATCCATCTGAGTTTATCAATGTTTGGAACTATGTTTAAGGTCCACATTATTCATATTTCGAGGAGATCTATACAGACAAAAAGAGGGTATAGCTGTGGGTTCACCAGTTTCTCCGATTGTTGCGAATTTATTCATGCATTCACTCGAAACTAGTGCAATCGCAAGAAGTGTTTGTCCACCAAAGGTCTGGCTACGGTATGTAGATGACATTTTTGTTATCATTAAACAGGACTATTTGGAAGAATTGTTTGCAAATGTTAACAACATTTCGGAAGAAATTAATCTAACGAAGGAAATAGAGTCTGATGACCACAAACTGGCATTTCTCGACTGTATGGTTGAACGAAGACTTAATAGGAAGTTGAAAATAAATGTTTTCAAAAAATCAACACATTCAGATAGATACTTAGATTTTGATTCGGCGCATGCTTTATGTACGAAAATCACAGTTGTTAAAAATTTAATTAACAGAAGTCTGAAGCTTGTTACAGATGAAGAAGACCAACAATTTGAATTGAATAGGATTTTAGCTACACTTAGGGATAACAACTACCCAAAAGAGTTTTTAAAGAAGATTGTTAGAAAGGAAAGAAAAGCTAAACTGCAACATGTACAGAAAGATTGGAAGTCCACTGTAGTCATACCATACCGTAGCGAAACATCGGAAGAAATCAAACGGATTTTAAACAAACATGATATAAGAGTGTATTTTAGAACATGTGACACTATAAGATCGTCATTGGTGAAGGTTAAGGATAGGTTACCAAAGGAAGAACAACAAAATATTGTCTATAAGATCAATTGTCATGATTGTAATGCGGCTTATATTGGAGAAACATCCAGACAATTGAAGGTAAGGTTGAAGGAACACAAACAGTGTTTAAAAAACGTTCCCAAAACCTCGGTTGACTTAAAGAAACTTGAGAATAAGTCTGCGATAGCGTTACATGCGTTGGAAACGGGACACATGATTAATTTTGAAAGGGCCAAAATACTTCAGAAAGGTTTCAACACTCACAAAGAAAGATTGACAGCAGAAGCGCTGTATATATGGGCGAATAAGAACAGCCTAAACAGAAAGGATGGTATTCAGCTAGCTACCACTTGGCAAATATTCTTCAACAAGTAATTTGACCTATACGAATATTCGTCAAGATTAGAACGAATAGTTTGACAATAATTGGGCGCCGAGTATAGAGATATGATTGTAAAAACACTATATATTTCTTTGATGATTTTGATTTTGATTATTTCCCTGAAGAAGTCCAGACAAGTTAGCTGGACGAAACGTTGGAATTATTTAAATTTCAATCGCTGAGACTATTTCAAATATAATTTTTTCAAGTAATTTGACCTTTTCTTTTATTCAACCTGTTTACTTCACATGAATCGTTATTATGACTGAAATCAATATGAGTTATGTTTAACATTACAATTTATGTACTTGATAATTCTCATTCTATTTGCAACTTCGATGATTCCGAAAGGAGAAAAACATTTCAACCTTCATTTTGCACTTTTATTCCTATTTTACTTCACATAGAAACATTTCAACACTGAATATCATTCAATAATAACTCATCTTACACATATACATACATACACACACTAAATTCATGCAGTCTCGTTTAATTCACATCGTTGAACTTTTCACTTGATTCTCATTCAACTGACTCATATTATCCTGTTTACAAAAACTTCGACATCTAAATATGATTGGATTAAAAAGTATTAGAGATTTTGATATGATTGTAAAAACAGTATATATTTCTTGATGTTTTTGAATTTGATTATTTCCGTGAAGACGTCGAGACAAGTTAGCTGGACGAAACGTTGGAATTATTTAAATTTCAATGGCTGAGACTATTTCAAATATAATTTTTTCACATATAATGAATCCTTAGTTATTCAAGAATTTTGATGAGAAAGATACTGATACTTTATTAATCAGTTTATTTAAACTGAGGGAAATAACGAGTTGTTAACATTTGGATTTTATGGTCGGTTTTTTTATTAAAATAAATATGTGTAATGCATGCATCTCAGTCAGCTAGTAGCAACGTGGAGCTTCGTACGTATGTAAGTCGGTTCAAGTTTCAATATCCAATTAGCACAGTGAGATGAAACTGTCAAGAGACTAGTAGAGGGAATAACATCGTTAGAAGTAATAATAAAAGATTAGACATCTAAGATACGATTCAGGGAAATGTAAACTAGAGAAATGAGAAAATTTATGGGGAATTTAGAAACATAGAATCTAAGGGAAGACAGGGAGTGAATGCATTTGCGTAACTGCAAATTATTCTGAGCCATGTCACTCAATGTCTCTAACCACTAGTTACGATGATTATCTATACATCGTTGATCAGGTTACAAACACATAGTAGTAGTAGTAGTAGTAGTAGTAGTTATTTTTGCATGCTTAAATAATCAAAATAAATAACTCACACGGTTTACCAACCCACTTATAGTTTGAATTCTAAAAATGTCGCTTAAAAAATTGTAAGCTCGAACTATTATCTGATTCAGAATCTTCCTGTTTGGTTTAATAAAATGTAATTGTGAAATCTGTTGGTGTCAAGTGATTTTTTAAATTTTGGTCATGTATACTTTCTGAATTCTGAGTTTTTAAGCGGGAGAGAAATTCATTTCATGAAAATTGCAAGTGTTCTTTGTTAATGAGTGCCGACCATGAAATCGAAGGATTCTTATCGATTAAATTGAATCATTTTATAGTAAAACTTTTCTAAAGTTCCTTTATTTATTGTGTTTTAAATTCAATGTTAATGTATATTCAATTTTACAAAAAGTTGTAATTAACAGATTAGTACACAAAATTCTACGTGATTAGTAAGTTTCATTCAAGTATTTGTTTAATTATTATAATAGCTGTTAAATATATTGTATTTAAATTATATGAATTGACTTACCGATAATAATGTAAAAAAGCACATTGTAGAAAAATCCTCCTAGATGTAGAATAAGACTTCCTTGAAAATCTATCGTCTATGAGAGGAGATAGTGTTTCTTTATTTTCAAATTCAAAAAGAGTAAGAAATCAAATAATTTCACAAATAACCCTAATTATTATTAATAATATCCTGTACTATTTACAGACAAGAGAAGTTTGCATTTAGCATTTATACATGTTTATTCCTACGTATATAGTCATACATTTATATATATATATATATATATATATATATATATATATAGGTGTAGATACACTTGTGTTTGTGTTTAATGTGTACTCATCTTTTAATATACACGTGTCCACCTAAATACCCCAATACTAAACAAGGTCGACAATGTGAATGTGTTAAATCACGGTCCTTAAGTTCTATGGTAAAATCTACTTGTTTATTTTTTTATTTGCACCAACTACGATGTTTCTTATTTCTCATCAATATTGTTATTGTTGAAATGATTATCAGCCTTATTATTATCATTACTATAATCGGAATGCATTAACATACTATTGGGTAAAAATTATTATTCAATCACTTATTTATAAACGAAGACATACTCTGTAGAGCCTGTCAATATAAAAGTTAGTTTTTTTTTTAAAAATGACATCTATATTCTAGCTTATAAACAAATGTATTTTTAAGAATGTGTACAGGTGTGTGCTCATTTCTGTCTGTCTATCTATCGATCAACTCTATGTATATATATATGCGTGTAATGCAAGCACATATACATACGGAAAGCTATCAAAAAAGAAGAAAAACCGATCTCAACAACTAATTAACTATATCATTTTAAAAGTGCTTGTTGTAGAGATTATTTATTGCAAAGTGCCATTTCAAAATGATTGTCTTCAGTTTCCCTTGATGAAACAGTATTACATACATTAAGTGTAGTAATAAATGTTTGTTTACTGATATTAATAAATAGAATTGAATACTGAAGTTTGTTTAATGTTAATTGTATCTCTTTGTACTCTAGTTATTGCTGAATTTCGTTAGGTTTGTGATCCATCTTGGTATAAGTAAATATTCAATTGATAGGTAATTCATAAAATATAACATGGACATAATCATTAACAATATATAAGTAATTTATTATCCATTCTGAATATCAACGACAGCCAATTATTTTATCACTGAAGAAAATTTTTTTTTCTTACCAATCATTCAAATTTTGTTCTTACAAACTAAATTATTTTAAAGACTTTATTATTTTACAGTTTCTGCTATTTCAAATTCGTTTGTTACAAAGAGGAAATTTAGTATCTGTATATCACTTTATCATAATTTCAAAATAAAAATGATGGAAAGAAGAACTTCTCAATAGGTATCAATCTTTAATGAAATAACATTAAGTTGTTGAAATAAGAAAAAAATTGATTTATTGAATAGATTTTGCAAATCTATTATTATGCCTAGAAGGAATAATGATGAATATTTTGTCAGTGAACCATTGTTAACCCATAGAATTTGATCAGCGCTGAAGACTGGAGTTACGCAAAAATAATCAGTCATTGTAAATTTTCTGAGTCTTATGGAGGATCATTCACAGTCGGCCTAGCTTAGCGGGACATTTCATAAGACTATGGTAGAAATTAGTAACTCATGTAATGAATGTGTCAAGACTGCATTCTCTGACGTGGCCAGTTTACAATTAATATTTTTATTATTTTTTTGATAAGATTATCGTCAGCATAAACTTTACAAGTAAGCTGTAACGTCATTGACTGTGACAATGGATGATAAGGGTTTGGACTGTATTCAGATTATCGATTTCCTCAAGGTTGACATTTCGCATTATCGATCAGTGACAATCCGCAAAACATCTATATCCAAGAATTCCTGGCTATTGTATCCATCTGCCTTACATTAAAAACAATTATTTTTATCACTGGAAGTGTACGACCTTAATATAGATAAATATTCTTAATATTGATTTGCTTAATAGTGTCAGTATTTCCATGTCTTTCCAAACCCATGCAGTGAACAACATAGTGTGGTTATACTTTCCGCTTTTGATCTAATGTAGTTTGAATGATTTAAGATGTTTAGATTAAAATAACTATTCTTATTCATTGTCAGACCGTCTTATCTCATTGTTCAGTATAAGGTCTTCTTCTATCGAGAATGTAGGTTTGGGACGGTAATTAGTTATATGCCTATTTCGTTTTCATTACTGAGGTATGCTACTGAGACTATGTGGAATCGAGTCTGACGCTGTACTTGTATCTTTATGGGTCGTATCTCTTCAAAAGAAGCTGAATAGTGTGTACAATAGAGTCCTTCAAAGAGTTCTTTGTGACTACCATGATTTATCACCCATGAATTTTTACTCTTTGTGTAAACAAAAGACTTTTCACTAACGAGTTTTCTGTGTTCCGAACATTCCTTCAATCTAATAACAGTCGTATAGAAACATAAATATCCCACCCAATTTATATGTGAATGCATTCAGTTTTAACTAAACCAAGTGAAATGAAGTTTGGAAACTACCAACTCGAATACACTAAATCTATCAAATATTCGTTTTAGTTAAAATTCACTCGACAGACAAAAATGTTCTACAGCGTTCTAGGATTATGGTATTGTAAATGTACACAAATATATTTCGATTAGTGTACTAATCAACTTTAGGAATAGTAATCTGATTTAGGGAGTTCGCTAAACGCAAACAAATTCAAGGCAAATTAGAAATAATCTTATAAAAATTGATATACGAACACTACCAGCTCAAGATGCCCAGTCAAATGTCGTAGCACAATCTTGACATATCTTGCTAGAGGCTCATCCAAATGGTTAGCTTATTAGTCTCATAAATATATATCTTTCTCTTCGTTGAAATAAAGTGCTTTTCCAAGCCTTATTTTCTTAGTTACTGAGAGACCAATAAATCTCGGGTTTACATTATTAAGGAGCTTCAAAAACTAAGTTGAAGTTCAAGCTTTCTTTTCCGACTACTTTCAACTATCAAACGTCAATATTTAAGTTATTTAAGTAATTGACATCTTACCAGTTTGTTGTTAAATTCACATAGAGTTAAATATGTTGTTTTGATTTATGCATTTAAAAGGTGAGTATATACATATATATTCATAAGATAAAAATCAATCAGCCTAGTAATTAAAACTTAAAAATGATAGTTATAAAATACATACTTTAGTTGATTCTCCTAAGCACTCATCCTTTTTAAGATTTCTATTATTCAAGTTCAAAACATTATTTTGCTCATTTAAAGACATTGAAATAACTGCATACCTTTAGAATATATATACATAAACCTATTCCAATAATAATAACAACAACCATAATATGTATCAATCTATTATTTAGGTTAATGGTACTTTATTACGTAAATAAATGTGTGTGTGTGTGCGTGTCTGTGGTGATGATGATGATTCATCAACAATGAGAAACTTATTTTTAAAAAAAATAAATATGTATCAGTAACTATACTATGGTAAACTTTCAAATTTGTTTATTTACTAGGCAACTAATAAATGATATGCATATTATTGTAATTCATATGATTATAGTTAACTGTTACAAGTCAAGTAACATCAGATACTACTTTTTTTTTGTTTTTTTGGTTGTTTACATTTTTATCATCCAACATTTTTTAAAATTTTTTGTCAAATAAATTTTTCAGAAAGGGTTTTTGTGGAGATTTAGTATTTTTCATAGTTGAAAGCGTGAGTCATTTGAAGCTAGACCACCATGGAAAACCTGGAAACACTGGACGGCCGTTTCGTCCTATTATGGGACTCCTCAGCAGTGCGCATCTAGCTTCAATTGACTCACGCTTTCAACTATGAAAATAAATTTTTGTCATCCGATTTGCATGCTTCAACTTAATATGATTTCTCTATCCTATTTTAAATGAACATTAATAATAATAATTAAACTAAACTGTATTATATTAAAATAGTTGAGATCATATAGTTATTGATCTAATTTGATAAACAACAGATTCTAGGTCAATTTGGAATAATTTAGTAACTGTGGTATTTGAGTAAAAAAAGAAATCCATTTGTCTAAAGGTAATATCTGTGGTTTTTATAGTCAATAAAAAAATCAATAGAAAAGGGTGTATACTATATAGAATATTATAATATATGCTGTTAAATATGCTTAGTTTGTTCACCAATTAAAGTGATAATTACCAAAGTGTGCATATTGTGTAAATTAAGAGCACAACTATGACTTCAGTATAAATTGTCATATATACATATACATATATCCGTTTGCTTACTTGGATCTTGATCTGATAAGTAAACTTTGTTTTCACATAGTATCCTTGATAAAAGTGTAATTAATGGACTAAATTGATCGATTCATAAGTGACCATATGAACGTGAAGCCATTTCGCAGTCAATGACCAAACTGCCTGTATAAATTAACATTATTTCACAACACTACCATTAAAATCTCTTAGATTTAGTGGTTTTAGAAAGGTGATTGGTTTTGTATAGTTATAAATTTCCTGATCTTAATATTGTCATAATCTCTCCACATAATTAGATTCATTTGAGTATGAATTTACAGACACGGAATATATTGTTTCCTAAATTCTTTTCATGTTTCTAAATAACTTTGTAGAGAATTAATGATTACCTGTAAAATCTTTATTAACAAGTTGGCTGAAGAATTTCTGTAAATAATCTATGCTCAAAAACAAAGAATATTTTATTAGGAATTATATAGGCATATGTATATGTTACGGTTGTTCACAGTCATGGCAAGCGCAAAACAGACTGCTCGCAATAGTATATGTGAGAAGGCACCCAGGAAGCAGTTAGCCACTGCACCAGCTACTGGTGGTGTTAATAAACCTCAATGTTATCGTCCTGGAACAGTAGCCCTACGTGAGATTCGTAGTTACCAAAAATCGATCGAGTTGCTCGTCCGTAAACTACCCTTCCGACATCTGGTGAGGGAGATTGCGCAGGACTTCTAGACTGACCAAAGTTCGGCAGTTTCTGCCCTTCAGGAGGCAAGCGAAGCCTATCTTGTTGGCCTTTTTGAGGACACTAACTTGTGTGCTATCCATGCCAAACGTGTCACCACGTATATGTTATATATAAGGTAAATTTCTTATTAAATAATGATTCACTCAGTATGCTTATTCATACTAATAACTCATTATGCGATTACTACAAATTTATAATTTAAGTGGAATAAAATTGAAACTGATAATCATAATTATGAAATACATATGGAGGCATTCACTTATATTTATGTGGTTTTGCATGTATTATTATTTAGATTATAATATTCAAAATTTATTGTTCATCTTTAAATCATTGATCAATCTTATTTTCTTCTTCAAATCACGTGTTGGAAACTAGAGAAACAATAAATATGTGCAGACAAATACAATATACTATTGTACACAATGGAACTACCTATATAGTGAAAAAGGAAAACACATATAGCTTTTTATTTCTTGTTACTCATTAACGCAATATTAGGCAGATTCTAGGAAGTTTTCTCTAATCCTGATTTTTCCCGTGTCTCTTCAATTTTAGACAATGAACAAAGTTCTTTGTTTAGACGTAAATATTTACCAATAAACATTAATAACGTGCATTACATAAATAATGCTGAATTATTTGCAACTAGATAGTAAACGAAGAATTTTGAAGGTAAAATTTCCCTGTTTTCGAGTCTTAAGAAGTTATATTTATTGTTTGACTGATTAGGTGAGACTATAATTTATGGACGAATCAATCACATTTAGGATAATAAGTCTTGGATTTCGGCACAAAATTCATCCATCCATTTGGCCAAATAGAGTTTCGGAATTTTAGCTGACGTCAATTCATGATGAAAACCCTAAATCTAATTCCTGACCATAACCATCAACTGGAAATCATGATCTTTGTTCTTCACACAGGTTTATAACCCTCACTTAGCTCTAGTAAATTGTTGGACATTCTCAAGGTCACGTTAGAGTAGCTAAAGGTTGTCCGTTATTTATGGTCTCATCACATATGGTGCTTGCCGCAAGACATGGATATCCTGGTTGACATTGTACATCTTAATTACTGTACAGTTTTAAATCCATGTCAACACATGTTGAATATCTATATCATTTGCTGATGAAAATCAACAAGAAATATTACTTGTTAGTTAAATTTTCATATTTAATTTGAAAATACAAATGAGTTCAAAATGAATATACTTAGAACATACAATGAAGAAAGGCAAATATCCATCCATAATGTTTCACTGAATTAAGATATAACTGTATATTAA